GTACCAGTTGTTCTTTCGGGCTCGCTGAAATCCAACTACTTCTTCGGTTCGGTGTGGTTCCACTGCTCGCATATGTCGGTTTGTTGAAGAGTGCTCTCTGAGAGCTGGTGTGAGAGTCGAGTAGCGAAAGCGCTGGCTGTCTGTTGTGATTGCAGCTTTTCGACGTTAAGCTTTCCTTGCATATTTGGGCGCACATTTTTTGCTGCACAGAGGCGGGTGCGTATCTTGGCTGCAACAAGATAGTGGTCCGAGTCGATGTTTGGGCCTCGGAGTGTGCGTACGTCTAAAACACTGAAAGCGTGCCTTCCGTCTGTCACAACATGATCGATTTGGTTTCTCGTTTTTCGATCCGGATACAGCCACGTAGCTTGATGGATCTTTTTATGCTTGAACCTAGTACTGCATACTACCATGTTTCGGGCCCCGGCGAAGTCGATCAGCCTCAATCCGTTGTCGGACGTTTCGTCGTGGAGGCTGAATTTTCCGACGGTGGTTCCAAAGATCCCTTCCTTGCCCACCCTGGCATTGAAGTCGCCAAGCACGATTTTGATATCATGACGTGCGCTCCAAGCGCTCATAGAAGAGATCTTTGGATGCCTCATCCTTCTCTTCCGTCGGGGCATGGGCGCAAATAAGCGAGATGTTGAAGAATCTCGCTTTGATGCGGATTGTGGCTAGACGATCGTCCACCGGGGTGAACGACAGTACTCGGCGACGGAGTCTCTCTCCCCACCACAAATCCAACTCCGAATTTGCGCTCCTTTACATGGCAGCTGTAGTAGACGTCGCAAGGCCCCAGACATTGTTTGCCTTGCCCCGTCCAACGCATTTCTTGGATGGCGGTGATGTCAGCCGGACAGAGGCACCTTCGACAGTTTAACAAGGAAAAAACGGAATGACGTATATTATTTTTCTGCTTCAAAGAAATAAATTTAAAAGGTGTAGTAAAAATTAACTTTTTATTAAAAAACAAGGTTTATTTTCAAAACTAAATTCTGACTTTAAAGAAAAACTTCACACTTAGCAAAAATAATACTTAAAAAAAAAATCGTCGGAGCTGAATTCTTTAGCTCCTTACATAGAGAGGAAAATAAGGTACTTCGTTTTTGCGTACGTCAGACTTACTGTATTCGTGGTCCGAAACCCATCCAAAAAGAGTAGAATATTTAAGTTATCCGGCTTCAGAGACGATCTTCTTTCAGAAGCGATTCAACCGGCTCTACTGAACATACGCTTCGATTCAGTAGAAGTAGCGGGAATGCTTAAGTATTTCAAAGCACAGTGTTTTAAAGCATCGTATTTTGAATCCGATATCTTTAAATTGAATTAAGCGCACTTGTACATGAAAAAAGTATCAAACGCTTCAGTAATTACCCGCCAATATTGTAATGGATCGGTGTCTGTTGGAATATTGCTTTCCTCGAAGTAGTGCCAGATTGTTATTCTAGTATCCACTCTAGCAGATCTTACTTTTTTATTGACCGCTTCTTTCAAAAATCCAAACATACACTGAGAAAAAGGATTAGTTTCGACAACTAAAGATATTTAGTTCCCGAATTTTGACAATATTTGGGAACTGTTACCAAGGATTGGGAATTAATACCATGGGTTGATAATTATAACTAAATATATTA